CCCCAAGCGGGGTGACAGCAGGCGCGGTCACGCTGAACAGAGCCAGCTGGCTTTCGGTCTCTTGTTGAAGGGAGACGTGGCCCAGGAGTGTGGCAACCCACCCTGCCGCTTGTGCCTGACTTCTGCAAGAGCAACGGCGTCCCTGCACCCTCTTCCCAGCAAGAGGGCTGCTGCCATCGACCAGTAATACGGGCAAACCAGTTAATACGGGCAAACCCAGGAGTATTTGGGCAGCTTCAGCCCCAGGTACCTGCACCAAGCCCTGTTCTTGCATCCCACAGCACCCCTGCAGCCTGCCGTGATGCCCCTGCAGCAAGGGAGGTGACAGGGGTGATGATGGTGCCTTTTCTACGGGCGGAGAAGGGGGTTGAATTGGAAGCAGGCACAAAACCCACCCCCAGCTGTTTTTGCACTTCTCCCTGGGCTGGGAATTTCTGGATCCTTTTAAGTCACAGAAGGGAGATTTCAGGGTGAAGCACAGCCTTGGCTTAGCGGGTCAGGTTGTTGGACTCCAGGGTCCTGGCCACAGCGACTGAGGATAAGAAAAGCCCCTCAGGCCTTTCCCAAGGGGACAAGAAGTTGGTGGGGAGGGCTTGTTCATGAAATGGCAGGGGACTTTCTTGCCTTTAAAGCTGTAAGTTTGTACGTCTGAGTTTCCTGTGAGGGCTACTAGAGGTCACAGCTAGATTAAGCTGAGGCCAGGTACACTCCACAGGGCCTAAATTCCAATGACTGAGTTGGTTTTGGGGAAGGGAGGGGGGGATTAACCTGTATCACAGGAGCCCAGAGCTGCTTCTGGTGCGTGTTTAGGTAGCCAGCCCCACAGCACCCTCAGCTGGCCCCCGAGGCTGTCGGGAGGCAGGGATGGAGCATGGTCCAAGGAAAGCTACCCTGATGCAGGAGGGTGCAGCTCGCTGTGCCAGGGGAGGAGGCAGGTGGCCTTGGGTGTAGGAAGTTGTAGGAAGTTCTTGCCTCCCTGCTCGTTCTGTTGTGTACCTGGTGCTCTTTGCGTGGCCCCTGAATGTCGCAGGTTTGCCTCAGCGAGGGAGGGGGCAGTGGAGGGAGAAACTCCTTTCGGGGTTATTCGGGCTAGTCCACCACCTAGGGCTGTATCCGAAGAATATCAGCTCTACCTTCTCGGATAGTCCTGGTAAAATCCCAGCTGGCCAGCTGGTAGGCAAGTTCCTTCCCAGCCTTGCTCTCTGGCTGAGCCTTGCCAAGCGGGTGAGCCCTGGTGCTTTCCTCTGAGCTGTGGGGAATGCCTTGGCGTGGGGAGGTGGGGGAGTCTGGCAGCCTGAGCCCTCCTCCGCTCACCTGGCGCGGCCGGAGGGGGAAAGCTCTGAACCTTTTGCTCTCAGAGGAAGGCTCTGGCCACAGGCTTGAAACATGAGTTGGCAGGAGGCGCTTTTTCCATTCAGTGACCTTTTCGTTTTCCACCTAGGAGCTGTGCTAAAGTTTAACCTAAAAAAAGGTGAGGCGCAAAGTGCTCCTTGCATTTGGAGTAAGGGCGTTGCCAAAACCTGATGGTTACAACAGTGTCCAACCCTTCTCTCCAATCCTGGAAATCCGAGTTTCTAAGTCCACGTGTTCGTAAGCCAGAGCAAACACCCTTAACAGAAGCAAACAGAAAGGTTTGGCATGTGCTCTTCAGCTCCCGAGGGCTTTTCCTACTCCGTGTGCCGCCATCATCGCTGTAATTACTGGGGTGGGGTGTGGGTGTTGGTGGGGAGCCGGCCGGGCAGCGGGTGGCACAGGCACGCAGAGCAGAGCTGGCTGCCCACCCCTAGCCCACCACCTGCCTCTCGCCTCTCTCCGCAGA